AGATGCAACTGATGGCTTCATTCACCAACCAGAAATCCCCATATCTCTCTCTCTCTCTCACATACACACATAGCCCTCTTTTGTTTAAAACAAAATCGTCCCAGCCATAAATTCTCTAACTGTAGGTATAAGATAAATATCATATACATGCAATCACCCATCAATCATGTACATTGATTACACAAAACTTTTATGCGAAACACCAATCACAATGTGCAAGTTGACATTCTCTCATTTATTTGGCGTCTAAACCAACATTTATTCATTTTCAAAATGACTACTTTTCTTTAAAACTTTCATTTTCAATTGGATTTTGTAAGGGGCACCCATAATGGAGTATGGGGTTGTTTTCCAAAGTAACTGTGTAACTGATTAGCATTACGATTGCATATCACTGGGTATTTGCTGTCATTGTTTCTACTTGTATAGGCTAACACACACACACTACAAGAAATAAAAATCATTAATACATGGCATAAATGGAATGTACCTGCAACCCAAACTCCTTAAAAGTAATTGGAGTAAGCCAACAACTAAAATTCTTGCACTTAAAATATGTTTTTGTGAAATTTAGATTGATTTGTAGGTCATCGTCTATCAGTAAGGTCAGGCTGCAAAACCCTAGTGAAGCCCTAATTTTTAGGTGAGGCTGATTGAAGCAGGCGCGGGTCCCTCCCAAGACAAAAGGGACTAAAACTGCTCCATCTATTGAAATATAAATAAGAAATAATTATTAGTCATATGATGTTTAACACCTGAGTCGAAGATCCAAACGGTTCGAGATATACGTGAAGAACCCAAAATGAACGAACTTACAGAAGGAGAGATTGTTTGAGTATTAGACAGTTGAAGGAACTTGTGCAATTGATCAGCAATTATAGTCAACTTTAAACTAATGGATAGATGAGAATCAGAGTTTGGACTCGCCATAATTGCAACAAAGGAGTATCAACACCCAAACAAAGTCCAACGGAGTCAAAGCCCACCATAGATTAATAACAAAATCAAACAGCCCAAATAGCAAACAAATGTTAGATTTCATCACCTCAATCTACCCAGCAAAAATGGGCTTGGTTTTGGGCAGTAATCCTATTGAGCTACTTGGGCCATATAATAACAACTACAAATGTTGTGATTCAGCAATTGAAGGCCATGATAGGGGTGATCTTTTTTTTGGAGTTAAGAGGTTTTTATTTATCTACTTTAGGACAAGGAAAATATTCATTGTGTTGGGTCAGCTTTAAAGTTATTTTTTTTTGTGTGTAAGAGCAATGTTATTTGAACATAATTTATTGATTTAATTATTTATAATCATTAGATTGATAGTAAGTCACAATATTGTGACCCACAATCAATCTATTGTAATAGATTACGTCAATAAATTAAATCCAAATAATATTATATTAATTGTATAAAATGTTCCTAACTTTTTAACTTTACATTGATATGTCTATCCTACTTTTTTGGATAATTTGGTAGGAGCTGCTAAGTACTTATGGAACAAGTTTTTTTTTTTTTTTTCCATTACATATATTTGTAGCAGATAAGAACTATGATTATACTATCGCTTCGAAAATACAGGGTCAATCCTAAGAATGTCCTAATCCCATGCAAACACATCTCTCATCAGAGAAAAATATTTATTGTGACGGTTACACCATGTAAGAATTACCGGGTGGTGTAACATAAGTCAATAAGTGGGCAAAGTAGGCTATGCTCCTTTTAATAACTTCCCTCCTCTCTGACACACTTAGGGGCTATTTGTTTGATGGGTATAAAGAGAAATGTTCAATATCCCAATAAAACTCATGTGTTGGTTAAACTTTTCAAGCCCCGAATTACACCGGGCTCTTAGGTGGCCCGGAGGATTAAATCCACGAGTTTTGATAAACCCAAGGGGGGGGGGGGGTTTACATATGCCAACTCAAATCTATCAAAAATGAAATTTATAAGTTGACCAAAAAAAAAATGTGTACTTAAACAAACATGGGTATAGATTAGAATGACTTGTGAGCATTTTAGTCAATTACATGAAATTTTTTTGGTTATGGGTCTCACATGTGTATTGTACTCACCAAATAAAGGAATTGGAAATATTTTATATGTGAATCCCATGCACTAAAGGAGAAAATATTCATTATAACGGTAATACTACATGACAATGTGATGTGATATCACCAATTAATAATAAAACCTCAAATAAGCAAATTGACCCACAAAAATTAATAAGTAATCTGCCATATAAATAAATAACTCTCTACTCTTTTTCCATATAAGCTCAAGTGAGGTTCTCTTTACCCACTTGAAATTTTATTATTGGTTGATGATACCACCGTTGCATTTAATATTTTCTAGGTTTGAGAGGGTTTGCTAAAACCAATCCAGTCCTCCTACGTCAAAACCATCCAAACATGCCCTTGAGGAGTTAGTCTCTTAATTTGGAGTTTGGAGGATCCCGGTCCTTTCTAGGTGCTCGAGGTCGATGCCTAGTTGCCTACTACCACCAGATCTGCTAGCGGCTCTCTCTCTCTCTCTCTCTCTCTCTTGGACGTCCCATTAGCATCTCTTCGGGTCACTTTACTTGGAGGGGGCATGCAGCATTTCCAGGCCATGGCCTAGTCAACCCTGTCTAGGTCGCAATCTGTGCAGGGAATTTGTTGGCTATGTCTGCTGCCTCAGAATTCTATCTCTAACTGGAGTTCAGCATATGGATGAAGAGGGAATGCAGCTTCTTAACAGCACAATATATAGGGGACGACGACTAGTTCATTAGTTGCTACAACCATACACCCATAGTGATACAGAATGCTCTCATGCTGCCTCAGTTGTTTGTGGCTAGGCAGAGATAATTTTTGGTCTCCATGGGTTAAAGATGTCAGTTACCCAAATACACAGGGCGGCTCAAGGCAATTCGAGGCCTAAAACAATATTTTTTTGAATGAGAACTTATACATTTAGTATAATTTTTTTTTTTTTAACTTTTTGAATTGCAGAAATAGTAATTAAAATTTTATTTTCAAGTTTGACTTTGATAACTTTGTCAATTGACAATATCGTTACTCCAATTAATCTCTCTTATGACATAGTCGATCACAAGTAAAATTTTATAAATTTTAATTTGAATTTTTTTTTCTATAGAAACAACTGTTACAAAAATTGTTAATTTTATTTCAAAATTTTCTTTCTCAGTATCTTCTATTTTATTATCTTCCATTTCATTATTATTTTTAATATTTTCTATGTCATTATCTTCTATTTTTTTATTTTTTATTTTTTTTTATCATGACATGCACAAATTAACCCCGCACAAATCTACACGGTTTAAAGCTCAACACACTTGGTATTATTTTCAATTTTATTATCTACTTTGTCATCTTCAAAATTTTCTTCTAAACTTTTGATTAGAATTTTTTTATTACTAGTCACAAATTTATCCAAATATTTTTTTTTGAGATTCATTTTAGTTGGGTGTTTGGCCTGTAGAGAGAGAGAGAGAGAGAGAGAGAGAAATGGTTCATCTTTTGAGTTGATAATTTTGTTTTTAACATTAGTTTTTTTTTTTATTTCTAATTTTTGGGTTTTTAATGTTTAGGTTGGATTATGGGCCTAAATGATTGAATTAATTTTTTTTGATTGGGCTTGTGTATTTATGAGGCCTTTTTATTGGGCTTAAAATATTTATGGATTTAATTTTTCCAATGGGCTATTTAAGTTATATAAAAATTTGGTGCCTTCTATAGAAATGGGGTCTAAAGCCCAAACTTTTTTTTTCTTACTGTTGGGCCGCCTCTGAGATACAGTGTCTCTCAACTCACGAGGGGCAAGTTGAAACGAAATAAATAATCTGAATTTTACGACAAATCCAGTCCAATAGCTATTCCCCGCTACCCACAAAAACACCCTTTGAGCTTTCTGAAGAAACTCTGTGGAAGAGGATGGGCATCAACGTATCATCATCGGTGAAAATAAAAGAAAAAACCTAAACTGATGCACTTTAAAATGAATTAAGGGATAAAATGAAGACGGCAAAGATGAAGGAGAGAACTAAAAGAAAATCAGTCTTTACCTATAATGGATGTTCAATATCAGACTATTTTCATGTGTCATAGCAATGCTTCCCTTATTTAGGACAATTCATCAGCCAAATAGGACAATTGGACCCTTAAACAAACATCCCAAAGGTTTAACAGCAACAACTTTGAGTGAATATGCTAAACAGAATTCACCGTAATTTACCTACATGATTTGTAAGACCAACATTAAGCAGCAAAGGCCTACAATTCTCACAGACTGAAGATTTAAGAAGCAACACAGGTGGTTTATACAGTGTCTAAACCGCAGTACAGACTGAGAGAATGCAGAGACACTGCAGGAGAATTAACATGACAAACTATAGCCTTCAACAGATTTTAGATTGATGGTCACTAGTCACTACAGGCATTCTTCTTCGGGGCTTTAGCACACTTGTATCAAGTTCTACTGATCTCGACTAATCAAAGAAGAACTCGCTATTTCAATTAGTGTACTCCAAATCATCAAATAGTTCATCATGGAACCACACTAAAGACAACAGGACTTCGTAAAATATAACTGAAACAGCACAATTAAGCGGCTACAAGAAGCCCCCTTACCAGAGATCCAATGCAGCTACAAAGAGGCAGATAAAGGGTTATTTCACTTCTAAAATCTCACAAGCTGCAATTGGAGAATTGATGCAGATGAAGGCTTAACTGTCAAATACAACTTCAGAAAAGTTCGATATCCAGACAAGTGCAGTAAAATGACATAATAAAAAGATATGACAACTTCTAAATTGCAGAACTGATCATCCTATACTGCTACATTGGGGAAAAGAAACAATCAATGCACTTCACTTATTCCACATTGCAAAGAAATTCCATGATACTAAAGTTATGAACTCACAAAATTCTGTGCAACAAAAACTACGACTAGAAACACTATTCTTACCTTCCCAAGAATTTAGGAAAAGATTTTAACCATCATACTCTTGCTGGTTTCTGTAGAACAGCTGATAAATAAACCTCTGATTTCCCTGGACCATTTATTTTCTCTCCCACAATCCATTTCAGTTTCTTATACCCAAATCGTTCAATCAAACGTGTGAGAGCATTCTTCTTATCATCATTGGGACAATAGAAGTTGTCCAACCAAAACAATCCACCAGCCCTCAGAATCCTATCAATATCAAACATTAGGAACTCCAATTTCTCAGGGCGGCTCCCAACATCCAATCCATTCGCCGCATGAATCAAATCAAACATGTTATCATAAAAGGGGAATCTATGATCTAAGCTCAAATACAATGGAAAAACCCCTCTGGCAGCGATGAATTCGCTAACCGGAGCATCAACATTCAAAGTGGCAGTGATTACTGTCACATTCCTTTCTGCCATTCTCGCAGCAAAAGTCCCAGACCCACCACCAATATCAAAACTAATTCTGATTCCATCACTTCCCATAACCAATACATCATCAATAAGGAAATCATTTTTACTCCTAGCCTTAACATACTTCTGAGTCTCATATCCCTTAACAATATCAAAGCAACCAGCACAATCTCTATTCAGTTTCTTACTATTCAGGCACTCTAAATTCTTGCAACCAAGACCACTCCAGCTAAAAATCTTATCACTAACATTTTTCCAAAGTGAAATAGGAAAAGATTGTAAACCCACCTTAGGAATAGTCTTTGGAAAGCATCTCCTTCGTGGCAAAGGCTCACATCCACGCAAAATCAGCTTCTGGGCAAGGCTCCAATCGTCTGGACAAGGTCCATTGACCTTGTAATTCATGTACTGAGACAGTAAATCCACAGATTTCTCGCAAGAATGGCCCACAGAAGCCACCATTTCAGTGATCCCAGTTCTTGAATCTTTCCCGAGTGGAAGCTGGTGGTGTTGGAGAAACAATTTGAGCTCATTTGCCATGTTGGGTCTCGAAAGATCAATGCTTTCATATCCTAAGATCTCTTTCTCCATCTGGGTAAGTTTTTTCTGAGAAGAATCGATCTCTCTGAGGATCAAGGAGACTTGTTGTGAGATGAGAGAGATGTTCTTGTGAGTGTGGTGAAGTGGGTGATCTTGGTGGTGCTTCGGGGATGAAGTGAATGCGTACAATGCAAAGAGATTGGTGGTGATTACAGAGAAGAGCATGAGAACATTTACAGCTGAAGAACACAGCGTAGCCCTTTTGAATCTGGCCGTTCCATCACCAATATTCAACGAAACAGAGCCCATCGTTCCTCTGCTTCACCTTCTGCAACAGAGAGAGAGAGAGAGAGAGAGAGAGAGAGAGAGAGAATTGAAGACACTTGAGATTTGTGGAAGTGAGCAAGTGGAAGAGACAGTATTAAAAAGTTGGTTATGACATTAACAAAAAGTTAATTAAAGACACTAAACTTCAAGATTTGATTTGCTATTGTCGGCTAGATGTTTTAGTATAGATCCTATAACACAAACCGTCCACGTGTACAAACATGATAAAGTGGGGTCTACTTTTATGCAATAAAGGTATGTCAACATTCAAGACCTACCCTATGAATCAGCAATCTCCGATGAAGCATTAACGGTTAAGATTAGTTCTTGAAGTAAGTTATAAGCAATCAATACAAAGTCCACCTCATCTCTACCCAAACGTCAAAGCACCTTCGTGGGGGGTTACGTGGCAGTTTTCCCCTGGAACGAAGAGAAACTCTCTCGCTCTCTCTCTCGCATAGAATCGAAGATCCAGTTATGGGGCAATCGTCATCGGCAGAGCAAGCGTCGTCGCCGGAGCAACGGGAGGTCGAAGCCTTAGCGGCATCGACAGGAGCTCTGCCCGTGCTTCAGAAAGCTTTCTCTGCAATCGCCGATCCCCAAACTAAGGCTATTCCCCTCGGTTCTCTCAAGGTAATTAATCTACATCAACACAACTAGACCTTCATTTGGTAACTGAGAAAGCATAAATAAATTGTGCATGGAGAAATCGCCTGCAAAATGAAGATTTATCATCTCGTAAACCTCTCTGAGTGTCTTGTATCTTTTATTGAATTTGTAATGCTGCTTTTGCTTTGGTTTCTTTACCGTATCAGTGACCCTAGATTCACTTATGATTTATATGGAATTTAATTGTATTTGAATGAAGACAATCAGAGTTAATCGAATTACGGTTCTTTGTTAGCAAACAGAGTAGTTGTTGCAAATTGATTCTTAGCGATATTGATGAACTTTTATGCTGTGTTTGGCAGCATGAATTTAGGTATTATAATTGGATTGAGGAGAGGTTAGTTGAGAAATTGAACTTATTTATGTCCAATTCCATTTCCAAAGTCCTGGACTCCAAGCTCCGAAATGCAGCATCAATATCATTGTTGTTCTCTAATTTTGAAGAATATACAAAACAGCTAAGATTGTCTTTCAAAACTATGCTAAACTTTCAATTTTTGATTCGATGAGAAGATTAATGAAGGACGCATGAATAAAATTACATAGTTGTTAATTGCTTGTCCATTGGTTTCAGCGATGTTTTGAATTGACCTATGAAATCCCCACATGTGAAACAATCAAAATGCCAAAAGAGTTTCCAACGTTGTTGAATCATCTGGGACATTCTCTTGTTGACCTATTTTTCATTGCTGAAAAAGGAGGACTTTGTTGGATTGAGTTCTTGAGGGGTTATACCAGGTGCTGTGGGAGGACAGCTGCTTCAACTTCATTCAATAACTTATCCAGATTGTATGAAGCTACAGTTGTGAAGGCAGGTCTCCCTGCAAAATTGCGGTTTGAAACTGATGACGATGATTGCAAGATGAGTGGATCCTTATGTCCCTCTGATGTGCTGATGCTTCTCTCAATGTGTTGGGTTATGTCATGGGATTCTCAAAATCTGAGGTCTTCTGAAGGAAAAGGAAATTATTGTCTTCCAGATATAAATCATTTAGTCCAATCAGCTGTTTTGTCATGCACCGATCATGATGGTGACTTAGATGTATGGAATGGTGACATATCAGGCTTGGATATAGAACTTCCATCCAGAAAATTTCATATGTGGGCCTTGAAGACAGTGCCAAACCTTACTGATTGCTTATTGCAATTCATTCATGCTAGACTCCGTGATTTCGTAGCTCATGAGGTGCTATATTTCTTCCTCTTGACTTCATTGTATGCATTTCTTCTTCTTGATGTGCATTTTGCAATTTTCTCTATACTTGATTCCACCATTATATTCACCCTATTTCCAAGTTGTAGCTCTTGTTGAAGTAATGGATTAATAATGCTTTATATATTCCCAATTTAAGTTTATTGTGTCATCTATCAGTTAGGAAGGGTATAACCAAGATTTTCCCGATGACTGCATGCTTTGCTGATTTTTTCTTTAACAAGCAAACAATCCTCGATTGGCCCTGTTCATTTGTGACATCACAGGTTTCTCATTAATTAGTTACTGTTTTGTTCAAAGTGGATGTATTTATATAAAATGAAAAAAAAATAATTAGATACTGGGTACAGCTATCGGTTCTATTGTTTCTTAGCATTGTGCCTTTACACACTCATTGTGCATGAATATGGTTATACTATTAGGCTTTATTTAATGAACAAGATCAAGAAGGATGACTATCATGCAAAATGTTGTGGATGCTAATTGTGGAATCTTCATTAATGGCAGGACAAACTGGAGTCACCATGCTCATCTTTGAATGATGTTTCTTCAACAACGGTGTGTAACACCAATCTTCTGACTCCCGGAAGGGCCTGGGCCCTTTCCCTTACTCTTAAAGGTTCTATGAAGGAGGAGATTTTAAAGGCATGTTTCCCCAGTGATACTGATGCAACAAATGAAAACATACTTTATCGGTTTGCCCTCTTTCCTTTTGACTGATCTTAACTATGTAGTTGCATGTATTTCTTTTAAGTCTAGTACACGGTACTCTTAAAGAATTTCAACATAGAATATCTTAGGGTCAAATACACTTCCTCTCCTTAGAATATGGCTCTGGTTTAGCTTTGCCTCTTCATCTATTGATTCGAGTTTTTGTCCAAAAATTAAGAATGCTTGACAATTTGTGTGCAGTGTTCTGAATCTAAATAGTTGAGGATGCTACGTGTTCAGTTCAATAGTTGAGGAGGCAAAGCTAAACAGAAACCATAGTTGAAGAGAGCAAAGTGTAGTTAATCCAAGTTCTTGTACTCTAGCTGATTCATGCAATAAATGTTACTTGCAATATCTTCCTTGTTGAGATTGTGTTAAAATCCATGAAACCCTCCTTGTGAGATTAAAATGATGTGTAGGTGCCAGCTTCATCATGGTTTGAAGTGGGTTCAAAAGATCAACTGTATGGAGTTTCTACTATTGACGAGTTTCTGGGTTTGGAAAAGTTTGTGTTTTCAAGAATGGAAATCTTTTGATATGTTGGGTGTATCTTATGGTAATCATCCATACTTAGTGCCTGAGAGTTGGATAGGGTGGACTGTACATAAGGATTATGTTGCCCGCCATTTTTGAAACACAAGATTCTCATTAAATGATAAGAAACTAATCTTCGCTCCTACATTCCAGATACACTATTGATTTTGACCAAAAGTCTGCTGTTAGATGTGTTCTCTCTCAGCAAAGCCTTCTTTGGATTAGATACCTTGCATGGCAACTTTTACACTGGTGATATGTCCTTAGCTTTATCTGCTCCAAATCAGAGTTATGAATATATCTAAAACTGAGTGCCATGTGGTCTTTATATATGGCAAGCATGATGAGCATGTGCCGTTGNACTCCCGGAAGGGCCTGGGCCCTTTCCCTTACTCTTAAAGGTTCTATGAAGGAGGAGATTTTAAAGGCATGTTTCCCCAGTGATACTGATGCAACAAATGAAAACATACTTTATCGGTTTGCCCTCTTTCCTTTTGACTGATCTTAACTATGTAGTTGCATGTATTTCTTTTAAGTCTAGTACACGGTACTCTTAAAGAATTTCAACATAGAATATCTTAGGGTCAAATACACTTCCTCTCCTTAGAATATGGCTCTGGTTTAGCTTTGCCTCTTCATCTATTGATTCGAGTTTTTGTCCAAAAATTAAGAATGCTTGACAATTTGTGTGCAGTGTTCTGAATCTAAATAGTTGAGGATGCTACGTGTTCAGTTCAATAGTTGAGGAGGCAAAGCTAAACAGAAACCATAGTTGAAGAGAGCAAAGTGTAGTTAATCCAAGTTCTTGTACTCTAGCTGATTCATGCAATAAATGTTACTTGCAATATCTTCCTTGTTGAGATTGTGTTAAAATCCATGAAACCCTCCTTGTGAGATTAAAATGATGTGTAGGTGCCAGCTTCATCATGGTTTGAAGTGGGTTCAAAAGATCAACTGTATGGAGTTTCTACTATTGACGAGTTTCTGGGTTTGGAAAAGTTTGTGTTTTCAAGAATGGAAATCTTTTGATATGTTGGGTGTATCTTATGGTAATCATCCATACTTAGTGCCTGAGAGTTGGATAGGGTGGACTGTACATAAGGATTATGTTGCCCGCCATTTTTGAAACACAAGATTCTCATTAAATGATAAGAAACTAATCTTCGCTCCTACATTCCAGATACACTATTGATTTTGACCAAAAGTCTGCTGTTAGATGTGTTCTCTCTCAGCAAAGCCTTCTTTGGATTAGATACCTTGCATGGCAACTTTTACACTGGTGATATGTCCTTAGCTTTATCTGCTCCAAATCAGAGTTATGAATATATCTAAAACTGAGTGCCATGTGGTCTTTATATATGGCAAGCATGATGAGCATGTGCCGTTGGTGAACATTACCAAGGACACTAAAGTTGCATCTCTCTCTCTCTCTCTCTCTCTCTCACACACACACACACACGGTTAATCTCCCAAGGTAACAGTGTTCTTTTGTTGTTAAAATGTGTGGCAGTCTAAAATTAACGTCTATTGAATTCTGAGCAAGTTGAATTCTCTTAAAAGTCTTTTAAACATTTTGGCTGTAGATTGCTGCATCTATTTTCTGAACAGATGCAGTTTAGAAATGAGAATACTGCATCTATTTTCTGAACAGAGGCTGTTTAAGAAATGCGAATGCTGCATCTATTTTCTGAGCTGGGGCAGTTTAAGAAGTGAGAACTCTTTGAATTTTGTGGAATTCTGGCATCTCTTTTGAACCATGTAGGTCATCACTTCATGGGAGGGGTCTAAACAGATTCTGGTCGAATGTTGATGGTTATACTGGTCCGATTCTAATGCTAATTGGTGCTACTTCTGGAAATTCTAATCCAGATGATAAGGATACCCGGAAATGGATTATTGCTGCACTCACTCATCAGGGTTTTGAAAATAAGGATGTGTTCTACGGAACCTCTGGCAGCCTATATGCTATAAGTCCAGTCTTTCATGTGTTCGCCTCTTTGGGTATGCAAATTAGATTTGTTCAGTAGTTTTCTCTTAAATTTTGTAATTCAGAAGCATACTTGTGAAAAGATAATATATTTAAATGACCTTTGTGATACTTAACTAAACATTTGTTTTCAACAGGGAAGGAGAAAAACTTTGTCTATAGCCACTTACATCCAACTGGTCGATTATATGACCCTCACCCAAAGCCCATTGGAATTGCTTTTGGAGGATCTATTGGGAATGAGAGAATATTTATGGATGAGGATTTTGCTAGAGTGACCGTTCGTCATCATGTGGTTGATAAAACTTACCATCCTGGTTCCATTTTCCCCAGTCAGGTAGGTTTTTTAGGACATTCAAGCGGTGGTAATATTATTGTTGGTAAAAATAGAAATTATTTGCTTGATTTCACCATTTCCTTGTTCCTCGAAAGCACTGATATTTAATTTTAGGTTTGCTGCCATAGGGGTGATATTAGCTGCCTCCTTACATTCACTATTAAGCCAATCCCCTTTGTTTAGTTTCTAAACCACAAGAAATAAGGGCTGTTTAAGTTGTAACTGGTTTTATTGTAAATTGTTTGTCCATTTTAGCTTCAAATTGGGGTCATGAATGTAAAATGTCAATTGGTGTGGTGCAGGGGTACTTACCATTTGAAGCTCGAGTTTTAGAGGTGGAAGTATGGGGATTGGGAGGGAAAACAGCCATGGAAATTCAAACTTCTTATAAGAAGAGAGAAGAACTATTCACTGAGCAAAGACGAAAGGTAACCAAATTTTGGGCATTTTGCATACTCTTGGGTATTTGCATCCATGAGCTACGGCAGTATTATCACCATTTTTCTTGCCCCATTTTGCAGGTTGACATGAAAACATTTGCCAGTTGGGAGGACTCACCTGAGAAGATGATGATGGACATGATTTCTGATCCCAATGCTGTTCGGAGGGAGGATCGATAATCTTCGAGAAGATACTGTATATAGACCAGAATATATAAGTTTGTTCAGGTTAACTGCTAGGTAATAGGTCAATGAGACCAATCGTTCTTTATACGACTTTGCCATGGCTGTATAGCACTTCCTGTGGTAAGCGTATATTTTCTTTTCTCATTGCGAGAAACGAGGGCATGATGTAAAGTAGCAGACGGGCAGGAATGTTTGTGTGGAATATGCACCTCAGGGTATGAGGATGGTAATAGGGACAACGAGTATCGGTGTTATGATGTAGCAGGGCTAGTTATTACGTCCAACAACTAAGAAAGAACCTTAAGCATGTTTCGTGTGGGGTGGGGTGCTTGTGATAAGCATCGAAAGAAAGATGAGTTGGTTGAGTTGATTTCATCTTCTTTCTCCCACCCGAGCCTGCAGTTGGTAGGTCAAATTTCCCTATACCCATGCCAAGTGATTGAGTTGAATGGAGCCCGGTTTGGAATGAGACCTGAGGAGTGGAGTCATTCCCTTTACCCCAAAATCTAATGGAAAAAAAAAGGGTGGGATCTTTTTCCATAATAAGGTATGGCAGTTACCCAAAGTTCGTAATAAACACTATGTTGAAGAGAGCTATCAAAATCGACAGTTTCCGTAGTGCAAGCTTGTATACGATGCGATACACTGGGACGGAACTATATGGAGACCAAAGGGGCTGTCGAAAATTTTCTATATTTTTAAAAATGTTTGTATCTAGTAAACATTTTAGTATATTCAATGATTTTAATGACCCAACCTTGATAACCAAATGAAAGACATTAATCAAACCAGTGCTTTTGTTATAGATGAAGAGAATACGATGAGCTTGATGACCAAAAGGAAAAAAAAAATGGAAGGGTATTGCAAAATTAGATTAGAAACCTGATTGATATCATTAGTAATGTTCTCACTAATAACTAATTTTTATGATGATAATGTGAAACTAATATTTGTGATGTTATAAAATACGTAATTAGTACATTATGTCATAAGTAAAGGAAGTAATAAATCATACTATTTTGTCAAATTAACCGACATATAAGTATGAATTAATTTCTAAATTCTATGACTTAAATTTACCGTATTAAATTGATTTTAATAATAATTTTTTGAATGATACAATTTAATATAATTTAAAACACTACACTTCTTTTGATTGGTTCTTACTGGCCCCATCGAGACAAAAAACTGATTTCGTCCCTCACAATACAAAATCTTGTTTAAGAGGGTCATAACATTTCTATATATATTTTTTAGAATTGTATAGTTTTTCATCCTTCAAAAGACATAAACCGCAGTAGCAAGTGTAAATGTTCCCCAAAGTTTTGATTAATTGTAGCTGCTGACCAAACCACCATCCTCTAGTTTTAGTCTTTTCTTTTTATGCTTCCAAAAAATTTGGACTTTACCTTTGCTCAAGCATAACGGAATGAAATATTTCTCCCGCTTTAGCATGAAGTGCCAATGTGAACATATTTAAATAATATTTTTTCTATAAATTAAATTATATTTATAATTAAATTAGATAATAAATTATATGTCGAATAATAAATTTTTATTTTATTTCTTATTAAGTCTAATTATTGATTTATTCTATCTCTTTTGGAAGATCTAATTTATCATTTTTTTAGGTATTTCTTTAATTTGTTTAAACATTTCATTTGTTGTTTACGGTGAAGGATAAAATTTGTCATTCGTAAGCATTGACACATCTAATTATGTTATAGATTTATTATATTTTATTAACAAAAAGATTGATTAAATTGAAATACTATTGTTTGTATTCGTACTATAATATTGTTGAACACCAAAAAAATAAAAAATGACATATATTTGACTGTAGAATTTAATCTGACGACCAAATGTTAATCAAATTTTGAATCATGTTATTTATTTCTGTGAATTATATAGTGATTGAAATTTTTAAACTTAAAATTACAATTAAAGATCTAACGGTATAAGAATAAATAAATATTTACAGACCGAATACTATCTGATAAGAAGGGTTTTGATTCAAAAGTCTTGAATAATAATAATGGAATTTGGTCAAAGACTAAAAGTTATAATATTTCTTATAAGAAGAATTGGTTTGTGAGTCTCTTTCTATGTGTGTGTTGACCTTTGCCGTGTGGATTGTTGTGTGTGTTTCTTCTGTGCATGTTCTGTCCAAAAAAACAAAAAACCAAATAAAAGTTATAATATTTTATTACGTTCACACTTACCTGCTAAAACTTGTACTATTTTACTAGGAAATAGGATACTTTGTTAAGAAAATAATATTATGCATTTGAAAGACAATGGTTTATTCGTAGAATGTGCCTTATAGATAGGGGCTAATACAATAAGAGAGAGTTTGAATAGGATACCTATCTGTTATTGAATCTTTCCGTCTCTACTTAGTTGGTACGTTGTTTTTGGTCGTGTTTTTAGTTTCTATATAGAATAGTATATTTGTTGTACACACATAGTTAATAAATATTACTCTTCGTTTTTTTGGTATTATATGTTTTCAAGTGAACATGAGTGTACAAGCAAAAAGTAGTAAACAAAATAGATGCATGGCTGCACATCCTTAAATATATGTTAGGACAGTTCGAGAGAGGTATTCAGTCTTAAACAATGCTCTTGTGCTCCTTTTTATGTGCTATATAACTCCAACGCATGCTTAGGGTATTCAACTCTCTCTCTCTCTCTCTCTCTCTCTCTCTCTCTCTCTCTCTCTCTCTCTCTCTCTCTCTCTATATATATATATATATATATATATATATATATTCATTGTCTAAGATTTACATGTCTTGCCTTAGGTTTGAAATGGACATTTTGTAGTTGAAAAAAACATAAAAAATGTTTGACAGGTTGTATGGTTCTTAATTCTTAATGACACAAGTAGATCAAGTAGTAAAAGATAGTACCATTCATTCCAAACATCACTTGCATTACAACTTATTTCACAATAGCACTTATAAGGCACCTTATGCTCTAATTCATAGAATATTTAGATACTAATCATGTTCAATATTCCACTGTTAGTTTCACTTGGCCTTATGTATAGGATTCACATAGAAACCTGCCAATAAGGTCAAAATGAATATAATAGTAGATGATTGAACTTTATCAAGTTTGAAATGATTCTAAATTACCATATAGTCTTCTCCTTCTTCAAAGGTGGTTATCAATTCCCTAGATGACAAAGATGGAATACTCTGCTCATTTCTGAAGAAATTGTTGGGGTCAACTAAGGTCTTCACTTCCACCAGTCTATCAAAGTTGTTCTTGAAATATTTTGTGCCCCAAATGCTTGCTTGTGCATAACTCGTGTTGTCATCATTTACTCCTATATCTATATCTCTATAATTGATATAGGCTTCTCTCGGATTGCTTGAAACATAGGGAGCAGTATAATTGTAAAACCTTTGGAGCCAATTGATATGCATTTCTGAAACCGTCGTCCCTGCTTCTGTCCAACGCAATCGGTATTCAATTTGGTATAGGTTTCCAACTCTGTGGGGGAAAGGGGTTGCAGACTCCGAAATCTCACTCATTTTTCCACCATAAGGAGTCAACTCTAGAAAAGCAACGCCAACTTCTTCTTCCTTCAACATTTCCCATATTCCTACGAGTGCACTTTCAGAAATGGGCGTCTTCACATAATCTGTTTTTACTTTAAAATTTCCTTTATAGATGAAAGTCCTATTCAACAATACTTCAAGTGATTCGGGAACTATACCTTCGTAATAGAGGAATACTTCAATCCAACTCACTTCCATACAGTTTTCTCTCGCCAAACCTAATTCTGGAAACACTTCACCCATTAAAGGAAGTAATGTATCAATGCCACCAAGGAAGGATGTAGTGAACAAAGCATCGACTGTTTTGTTTCCAAGTTGATCAGTATTTTCAAGCCTAATGAATACTCTCATAAAAAGGTCTTCATCAACCTTGTCAGCTATAGATTGCCATTGATGTACAAGCTTGGTTGCATTGTTTTCCAATGTTCTATTTACCCTGCAAAAGGTCACATTCTCTGGAACAGTAACTAAGTTTAGTTTCCATGCCAAAATGACGCCAAAACTAGCACCTCCACCTCCTCTTATAGCCCAAAAGAGGTCTTCCCCCATTGATTCTCTGTCAAGAATTATACCATTGACATCCACTATTTGAGCATCAATAACATGATCAACAGCAAGACCAAATTTACGTAGAAGTACACCAAACCCTCCCCCACTAATGTGTCCGCCAACACCAATGGAAGGGGAACTGCCTGCTGGAAAAGCAAGTGTCCTGCTCTTGTTCACAATATTGTAATAAAGTTCACCTAGAGTTGCTCCAGCTTGAACCCACACCGTGTTTCCTTCAGTATTGACATTGACTGATTGCAAGTTTATTAGATCAAGGATGGCAAATGGTACATTAGAAACGTAAGAAAAACCTTCAAAGTCATGCCCACCACTACGAACTCTGATTTGTATATCATGTTCTCTACAACAGTATATAGTTGCTTGAACATGAGACTCATCCAATGGTGTGACTATGGCTACAGGTTGTGGAGTGTTAGGTGTAGAGAATCTCAGGTTTTGTATGGAAAACTCCAAAATGGATAAGTAGGAAGGACTTGTTGGTGTGTAAACAACCTGAGCAGTGGAGTTATCTATCTGATTAGAGAGACACTGAAGAAAATCTTCAGTGGTATCAGCTGAAGCTGCTGATGATAAAATTGAGAAGAGAAAAACGAAACTAAGTGAAAGGGAAGAAGCCCTTGGGCTAATCATCTTCATGCCTTGTTATTGATTTTGTGTGCAGAAACATGAGAAACCTTCGGCTATTTATGGTACTTTAACGAACTAATACTTTCCTTATAATATTCAAAAGTTTCCTCGGTTTAAGGGACATCTGAATTGAGTCTTAATCGAAAAGGAAAATATTGTATAACTTAAATGAAACCCAAAAATTAAAACTCAAATATATATTGTTTCTTTGATGAGTATTGAAATGAGTGGATCCTACTGAAAAAGTTGATGAGACTCACTAATCTAAAGAATTATATGCATTTAGGTTGTAACTTTTTGGGTTTCACTTGGATTGTGCAGTATTATTCTAATTGAAAATTTGTTATGAGTTTTAATATTTGGATGTATCTCGTTTTCAATCCAACAGTTATAGTTGATTAGATCCCTAAATTAAGTTCAAAGAATATTTTTTTTAATTTAATTGCATTTAAGATTAGTATTTGTAATTACTTATGCCGATTTATACATTAAATTTTTTAATCCTAGAAAAATAAATTGTTATTATTATCTTCTTCTTTTTTTGTGTTATAGAGTGTCTAAGCTTGCGCCGATGACATTAGCATTTAAAGACGCAAGAGCATAGACGTTTACCATGGGGCCGTCCAGTACATAAAATTAAGCTAAACTAACGATACATCTCTTTCTTGTTTTCACCTACTCCTTCAATTTACTTTGAACAATAACCCCACCTTGTTACAACCTATTGGTTTTGCTTCAATTGATTTTTTTTTTTTATTTAACAGTCAAGAGTGTCTAAGTCAGTATATGTATACCTTAACTAATCTTTTCTCAATTTATTTGAATTGACTTTTTGATTAACTATAATAATAAAACGTCTATTGTATGTGTTAGAATAGGTGGCTCATATTCAGTATATGGAGAGGTACACTAAGTTCAAAGATCATGAACCAGTTGTCGGAGCGTCACTCTTTCATACACATAGACAAATTATCGAACCACGTAAAATTCTTGTGTTC